GTTGACTTATTTGTAATGTCATATATTGTAAGAATGAACTGCTTGAAAGTAAATGGTAAAAAATTGTCTTGATAACAAATTTTGAGGGAAGAAGGGGAAAAAAAGCAAAAAGAAACTGACACTGTCCTGGAATCATTGCTACGCTGATATACGTTAATCTGAGCACTGAAAAATGTCTTCACTAATGTCAACACACAGTGCAATCGTGTCCTGTTGCCTATAATGGCTTGCTATAAACTAGAAAAATATCCTGCATTTTATGAAAATGTAGAATGGTTTAATACTACATTCTGAGGTGGTGTTAATTAAGTCTGAAATGATTCTCTTTAATCTGCTAAGTGGCTCAACTTTGCATAAGGGTTTTACCTATTCTATATGCAATTCCAGTTATCCCAAAATTATCTTTATAGACCCTATTTTTTTCAGCTGGGTTATCTCTAAATCCAGCCTGATCATATCTCTTATAGTGACATCTGTAGCTACACAGTCACCTGCTCCTCTACATGCTTAGATTCCAGCTCTCAAGTAGATGACTGTGAAGGATGGAACAAGAGGCTCATGATAGCCATTTACAGGGGAGCTATAGCATTCTAGAATTTTTCTTTTTACAAAAGACAATTTCAGTCCAATTCATTGGATGAGATACAGTTTGTTTCTTTGTTTGTCTTCAGTGGATTGTATTAGCCTGCGTTCTGTACAGGGAGCGATGTGGGGAGAAACAAACATCAGTTTGAATTGACAACAGTGTGAATTTATGATGTCAGATAGGAAACGCAGAACAGAGATACTGTAATGAATAAGTTTGCAGGCAGGATTTCCTGAACTTGATAAGAAGCTTGGATTTTTTTTTTTTTTGCTTTTGAGGTACAAAGTGGTTTAGGAAGGAAACATGTCAATAAGGTAGTGATCAATTCTGAAATGTAAAGGAGTTGCACTGCGGAGTAGTTCTAAGAAAACAGGAAACAAAATCATAGGAATTCTGAGAATATAGGAGGATCTTATTCTGGGATATGAACAGCTGTCTTTCATAGTATCATTGAAGTTGGAAAAGACCACTAAAGATTCCCATGTCCAACTCCCACCCACACCTTCCATGCCTACTAATCACGTCCCTCAGTGCCACATCTTCATGGTTTTTGAATGCTTCCAGGGACAGTGGCTCTGCTATGTCCCTGGGCAGCCCGTGCCACTGATACTACTTTTGCTTCAGTAGGCAGCACTAAGTCTTCCTCGCTGTGCTGTGATGTGTGTGGGTATGGGCATGGCCTTGCACAGAATATTTCTAAAAGTCTGTAAGGTGAAAGTTGGTTGAGAAAACAGCAGGCTTTGTAGAAGTTTACATCCAGCAGCGCTAATGTGCAGTAGAGATGGGATGGTATGTACCCAATTTGGGAGGTGGTGGAAGTTGAAAGAAAGGTGTGGGAATTAGGATGTGCAATGTGCAAGCATATTGTGTGAAGCAATGTTTTTCTGTTTTCTCACCTGTTTTTGCTATACTCCTTTATGATTTTTGTGTATTTCTAGTCATCATGCTTGTGTTTGACAAGTATATGCAAAATGTACATCTTTGTTACTTCCTAGGACTTGCAGGCTGGATCATATGTGCATCAGCCTAACTAACAAACAGATTCTTGGTTGCTACAGTCCCATAATATTACTGCTTAAGATGCTTTAATGTAATTTTTTTTTTTTTAAATCATTATATGCATTATTCTTTGTGGTTGCAAAAAACATGTAGTGTCAGTAAACAGGAAGAGTGCTCCTGAGTATGTTGAGTGTATTCCCTTTCCTCATTCAGAAGCCATCAATAGTAGAGATGTCATTAGAAGAACAATAATCTTTGTTATAAATCCAAACCCCTCAAAGCTGTCTTTACTGCAAATTACTTGTACACAAATGGGGAAAAAAAAAAAAAAAAAAAAACTTTGGAAAAAATCATGTTACGAGATGTAGATTTGTATGTTTTTTTTTATGGTAAAGGCCGTATCAGCCATTGTAATCAGTAGATAAATGTGGAATAATGGATGAGGGAAAGCAGTTCATTTTTTCCATATGTTTTCCCAATTTTTTCCTATGTTAATGTCATATATGTAAAAAAAACTATAGAATGAAAAGAACATAAAACAGCTGAGTTCTAATGACCTTGGCTAGCTGGTATAACCAGAATAGAAAGATCTAGAAAGAAAGTTCAATGTAATTTTACACAAGAGCTTTTGAGAAATACCTGAAGCCATGAACTTACACCTACTGCTCTTTGTTTGATTTTAATTAATGCTTTGTAAAGAAAAATCTCATTAACAGTTGAAATGAAGAACAGAGGGGAAGTAGTTAATGCTGACATTTCAATAAATAATGAGTTTTAAAACTGAAGAATAAAGGAGTTTTAAAAGTAGGAGTCTAGACTCAAAGTAATGTTTAGAAAAAGAAAACACAAAATATTTTAAAAATTGGATTGGAATGGAGAAGGAATAAATCATACTATCCATTCTTCATCTTTCCTTCTGTCAACAGAATGATCCTCCCCACCCCATGAGCCTCTGCTATACTGCATTCCCTGCCTATACATACAGATTTGCTGCTTCTGATGAGATACAACCCTTCCACATAAGTAGACTGAATAATACAAGCACGTATAGGAACTAACTGATGTTTGCCATAAATCAGTGGTCCTTACGTGCGTGGAGTCCAACCTTTCTAATTGAATTAAAAATGGCACAGAATAATAACTTCAGTGGTAATAAATAGTGGAATGCATTGGGACTTTGTACCAAGTTTTAACTATTACATCACTGATGAAAAAGAACATTAAAACTATTAAAAATTTCCAGGATAATGAAGTCAGAGTTAAACCCATGAATTGCTGAACTGAAAGTACACAAGTGCTGTGTAACTTCCAGGTGAAAAATCAGTTGCTGAAAGAAAACAAAGAAGCTTTACTTCTGAAGAATCACAGAATCACCAAGGTTGGAAAAGACCTACATGATCATCCAGTCCAACCATTCACCTATCACCAATAGTTCTCTCTAAACCATATTCCTCAATACAAAATCCAAATGTTCCTTGAATGCCTTCAGGGTTAGTGACTCCAGCACCTCCCTGTGCAGCCCATTCCATGCCCGACCACTCTTTCAGAGTAGTATTTCCTAACGTCCAGCCTAAATCTCCCCTGGCGCAGCTTGAAGCCATTCCCTCTAGTCCTAAAGAAGTGTACTTGCTTGGAGCACCCCCTGGCATCCTTGGGATCATGTGTTCCATACATTTCTGAGGGTCTAAGGCTATCCAGGAGGACACTGTCTGTGTGAGGACTGCATAGGAATGAAGGTGGGGTAGCTCAGGCTTGAGTGCTGGAAGTTACTACTGACAAAGTAATGTTCCATTTCAAATGTCACCTTGCACAGAACCTCCTGTCCTGGGGGAAATGGCCATGTAGCCCACTAGAGCCTACTCCAACCCATGAACTGGTGTCAGGAATAGGGCTGAAAGGGAGGAGTTCATTATCTTCCTAATGAACTCTTTGAATATCCTTTGCTTACAAACAACTGATTTGATACTTTCCTTACAAAGAAAATTAAAAAGCGTTCATGGTCTGTCTTAGCAGCTGACCAGTTCTGTCTCTGAATCAGGCTTGAGTGCTGTTGAACTTGGTTTTGCTATGGAGCTCAGTGCTGACTTGGAAGAATTGTTGTCATGAGGAAAATGGAAGAGAAGTGCCAGATGTAATGTAGTGTTGACAATAAACCCTTGTCTTGGCTCACAGCGCACACCCAAATTCTTCCCTTCTTTTGTTTCTGTGACATCATTCTAACTCAGTGTAAGCTTCAAATTTTCCTCCTTCAATTTTATTTTTGTCCAGTTGTACCAGTACTGTACTTATGAAGAGGCACTTCATTTAATAGCACAAGATACTTTAATGTTCTCCTACCTTAAATGCCTTTTTATGTGAATCTGTGAATGAGATTTATTATTCTTTCACTGCCATTTGTTATTGAGATTGCTTTCTCTTTTTACTTGAAACTTTTCTTGGGAAGCTATTTACCTTTCACTCTCTGGTTGTTTTGATTTGGATCACTTCTCTTGATTGAGCTTTCTCTTCACCTTTTATTATCATTAGGTGCTCTGGATGCTTTTCCCATTTGTAGCCTATCACTTCATTGTATTTTCTTTCAGCTTCTTGTTCACATTGAGTAATGTGTCTAGTCTTTACCTCTACAAAACAGAGAAATATAAAAGCATAAAGAAAAGCTCATGCATCCTGTTCTTTTTTTCTTTTTAAATGTGGAAATGAAATCCTCAACTCAACTGGCTCTATCTCTGATTTCTTCTTCCTTATCAAAGTGCATTGGCAAGTAATACCTCATGTGACAGTCAGCCTCTGAAGACCAAGAGCACAATGCAAGTCGTGTTTCATATATTAATACCAGTCCTCTTAATCCCTTGCTTATATCAACCTTTTAAAGAAAATTAATTTCACATGATTATGCTAATATTTTCTTAATGAATTAGAAAAGAAACCTGTGCAGAACTTAAATGAATCATTTTAACCATCCCTGCTGAGAGATTTCAGGATCATTCTTTTTGTAAAAGTATATGAATATTAATATGCACCCTGGTAATTGGAACAAAGTTAATTACTGTAATTCTTCTATAGTTTAAAAAAAATACAATATGCAGTAATAGCTAGTTATTAAGATAGGAATTTGAAGGTAAAATACTATTAATTGCTCCACATGAAGTGAGGTAAGGCACATGAAGGAAAAAATTTTAATGGAATAACCAGGTATTTTAATGAAATATAATTTGGTTACTAATTTTCATGCTTTGAAATTTGTCATTTCCTCATGTTTCTAATACTTGCAGTGTTGTGTTATGTGTTTTGGAGTTTGATACTATAATATACTAATATATACTAATATAATATACTATACTACTATATATACACTACTATTATAAGTAGTAGTTTATTATATGTTAATATCTGTCTTTATCTTTCTATTTGATAGGATTTCTCAATAGACAGAGGCTTTCATCACCACCTGTCTCCTCCTGACTGCACCACTGAAATCCAGGCCCATCTTTGGCACAGCAGGAAGAGTCATAAAGTCGGGTAAGTTCCCCCAAGTTTTGTAAACTCGTTGACTTTTTAAAATGAGTGCTCCTTGGACAGTGATGCTATTGTCAGGGTCCCATTGTGCAGTAGTGGCTCTCAGGCACTCTCCAGCCTGGTTTGTGCTTGCTTCACTGGCAAATGGAGCCTCTTACTGGGATGAGAGGTGAGTGCTGAGGGACACATGGGCTGGGGAAGGGGAAACACAATACTGCTACCATGGCTGTGGATGTGTGGTTTGATATTGCAGGGTAACACTGCAGTGAGGAATGCAAATGTGTGAGAAACTGGATTTGCGTGATTTCTGTTGGTATTGAAGTTATCATTCCTGCTGTGAAGATATCCTTCCATGAAGGAATCTCATAGTATTGTTTATGAAATCTAATTCTCTACCTTCGTAGTTCCTGTACAATTTGTGAAAATTATTCATGACTAGCTTTTATTTTTATGGGCTCCCCAGACTGCCTGCAATTATGTGCAAGAAATGCTTCCAGACGTATCAGTGCCTTTAAAAGCATTTATATGGATGGTAAAATGATTTTTCTCACCTACTATGTGACCTCTGAAGTGCAAAATTTATCAGTGGGCCTACTCTGAGTCAGACTTTGTGCTTTTCCATACCTATTCTAGCTCTTTCAGATAAATTTTCAAAAGTAGTCTGGCATATGTTAAAGTCTGATCTAATGGATCAGGATCCTGCTTGTTCAGACTCTCTGTATAACTTAGAAGCAGAAGAAAATATCTGTATCATTATATTTTGAGAGTCATTGCATATTCCTCCAAAATACTCTGTCAGTGGTGTTTGATGTTGGAGGGATGTTGATAAATCTGTTGGTAATATGTACTGCTATGGATGCTGAGATGTAAGCTGGTCCCATGGGACAGAGTAATAAGGCTGTTGCAAAGCAGATAGTGACTTGAATGGAGTTCTAATGCATTTAGGAAATGTGTAAATGAATCAATTCCAGAAGTGGATTGATCGACCTAAATAAAATACCAAAAGTTGAACAGAATAGGTTATATTCTATGTGACATAACATGCACTTGCCTGTAACTTAATCTAAGTGTTGATTTTGATATGAGTTTCTGTCTTTCAAAAAATCTGGATAAGTTTGGGAGAAGAAAAAGAGTCTTGATTTCACTGCACCTTGTGCCTCTTCACATGTGTGAGGAGTGGGATCTTTTCTATCTGTGGGAGGAAACAATTTTGTGTGCAATCATGGGCTATAATAGCTATATCCTACTCAGATGTACGATCTCCTCTTCATGTTGGCTGGAATAGCTGCTTGAATTCTCAGTTTTAGTTGCTAACCTTACTCAAGTCTGGAAAGCTAAGCTTCCATGAACAGCTGATTGCTAAAGATAACAGGATTTTTTACAGCTATGAAATCTGTTGAATTAAGATACATGAAATATATTATTTCCTGATTTAGTAAATGTTAGACAGAATTGAGATGTTGAGGAAAATCAAATTGACTTCACCATGAGAATTGAAACATTAAAATATTCTGAAGATTCTAAGAAGAGAATAGGTGTCCTTTTTAGACTACTCGTTAATCATCCAAGAGGAAGGAAAGTAACGTTGCAAATTACATATTAATCACATACTTGGGCATTGAAAACAAAGATTAGAACTAGCACAAGACAGAAATAGCAAGTAGTCATTTTAATTTCAAGGAGTCTTTGTCATAACTCCTATTCAGTAATTTTGGGAGCTGATTTCTGTGATAGTTGACATGGAAATTTTGCAATGTGTAGATTAGCTGAAATGCAGTATTAAGCTCAAATACTGCAGCATGATCTGAAATGGTTAAAAAAAATATATATCCACCAAAAAACCTTCAGTTTTGAACTGTGGATTTTAGTTTGGGTATTCAAGTACGTAATTTAGAACCTGCATATCTAGCCATTCAAATAAATATCCTTTAAGTTAGATGATGTTGAGTCTAACAGCTGAAGCAGTATGATATAACTCCTAAAGCTTACCAGCAGACCAAGAATGTACAACTTTGAAATATTCTCAAGTAACTTTGCAAATCCATTTAATTACTCAAGTGAAAAATTGTCAATACATGGACAAAAAAATCCACTGGAGATTTCTGTAATTTGTTCACAGGTAATTAGCAGTCAGAAAGAGTTGAAATGCCTTTGGTGCAGTTTTCATTACAAATGACTCATCCAGTCCTAGTAAGGACAAATAAATAATACAAACAACACCAAAATGTTCTGAAATACATGCAAGAAATGAGGCAAAGATTGAGTGAACAGAAACTCGTTCTGAAACCTGGTACAAGGTGAACAGCAACTGGAGTGAGACCACAGAGCCCATGCTTGACTTTCAGCCAACATCAATTTTTCAGCTGGGCCAAGTCTTCACTGATGTGACAATGTCCTTATCACTTTGTCATGGCTACTGACAAAGAAACTGGGTGTCTTCACCCCCTTTTAAATGAATTTCAAAATAATCTTGGAGATGAACGCTGCTGGTACATGCTCAAGAGTTACTCAGGTTTTGCTGTAACAGCTGCTTAGCAAAGACGTGTGTGTTCAAGCAATGACCTTACAGCAGAGGTTTCTAGTTGAGTCATTTCTGTAATTTTGTCCATTCCATTGAATGGAAGAAGTCAATGATAATGTTTTAGGATGTATGCTCTATAGGCACAAAAGAGCACTGCATAAAAAACTATTTGAATTTTTGCTCTGGGAATTATATTGAAGAAAAAAACAGAAAATGTCTTTTTCCTTCCAAGATGATTTCACAGAATTTTGAGTGCATTTTCCCATTGGGGCTGGGATTTCCAATGATGATGATGTGACTTCAAATGCAATGAGCAAGTGCTATGTTGGGTGCTTAATTCATAGTGCATACTAATGTTAAAATGAGTTCCTTTGGGATGCCCCACTCTGTAGGACAATATGTAAGAGCTTACAGCTTTTCTCATCAGCTATTGTTTGTTTGTTTGATAAATTCTACGTAGACCATGTAACCACAGGAGAATATCTTTATTAAAACAAGCTGCTAGGTAAATAAGGCTTCCAGTTAAAATAAAGAACATGTTTATTATTAAATAGATTGGGAAGGCTAAAGAATACAAATTTTGCAGCTGTCTGTAAATACAGTCTGTATAGTTCTAATTTAATTTAACACCAGAAATTCCCTAGCATAAGCAGATGAAACTGAACTATGCAGTTTGATAATAATGGAGTGGGCTTTTCAAATTCAGATCCCAAATCTGAATTTTGCTTTTAAAACTAGTTTCTGAGATGGGTCATATGACTAAAACTTGGGAGTTTGTGCATTGTGTCCACTTGGTATAGGAGTATTGTCCAGTTGGATGATACTAGTGAGTGGGGAAAGGATGAACGTAGGAAGAGCATGCTTTTTGCAGGGACTACTTAGACAGGAAAATACTATGTTCTCTTCTTTGACCCAGCACATCTGCTGTGCGTGTATCTCAGGTGTGTTGGTTGATTCATGCCTTTCTTGTGGATCATGAAGTGGGGAGGATCTGTGTCCTTTCCCCTCTGTTTAATCATTGCATTAGAAGTTCAAGATACTTCAGCTTAGTTTGCTTAGATACCAAAGCAGCACGAAACTTCTACTATTATAAATAGATGTGTATCACAGTACAGTGTTACGGACATTCTCTCACCAGTTACTGAGGGTCAGAAAGGAAGAACTGTTATCTATTCCGTTTCATGTCGTGTCTGTTACTTAGAGCATGTCATGGAGGAGTCAACTAGTTTTCTGAACTGGTAATCCTTCATTCTGGAGAAGATAATGTGTGCAAACAAGAATTAAACATTTTTCAGAGCTGTAGCTTTCAATCACTGACCTTTTTTTCCCCCCCCTGATTGCTCATACCAAGCACTGTATTCTGTGTTTGTTTGTCCCCCTCTGAATTCACGCATTGATGCCAGGGTGAAGCATTCTACTTTTCCTTTGTATTAAGCGTAACTGTTTGTAACATGCCTGGATTTTAGACTACAAAGCATACAAAACATTTTCCAGGCATATAAAACTGAAGTCCCTTGATAGAACAAACATCTCCTGCATGTTTTAGGCTAGATTCTGAAGAAGCAACTTATTTTATTCTCCAGCCCTGTACTGTGTCAGTGCTTCTTGTCTGGAGATTGCTCCTGAAAACACTGCTATGAATTCATCCCAGACACTCCGCTCTATGGTAATCAATAACTGTAAAACAATTAATGATGTCTTTAACATATACTTCCACCTCTATTGCTCAAACTACCCTTAAGCAGGCTATAAAAAGGCTTTTCATTTCAGTGATACTGCGAACCATCCCATATTGGGGACTAATGCTAATTACATGAAACTTTTTCCCACCAGATTCTTCATGACTTTTCTTTCTTAGTTTTGCAAAGTTTTCCGGTCATTGACACAGTGGAGACTGAAGTTCTTGTCTTTCCTATCTACTTTACTTAGCTGAGCTCACTCATCTTAGACATCTTGGATTTCACTGTGCTTCATCTGTTGTCTTATTAGCTGCAATTTGTACTGCTAGCTTAAAATCTCCCTTGTTGCTCCAGAAAGTTCGCAGTGCAGATTATCCTCTCTTCTGGTTGGCAATATTTCCTGGGGCTTTTTTCTTCATCTAAAAATTGGATTGGTGTTGCATAGCTAGAAGTTCTAGCTTTTAATCTCAGAAATTACACATGAGGATAAGGCGTATCTCCAGCTCTTAGTTGCTGTCTTTTGCTAAGAAGTGATGTTGAGGAAAATAATTGCAAACGTGCTGTGCTGCTAATTCTTCTGCTAGTTGAACACCTCTCACTTATAGCTATGAGCTTTATTAATTACCTAATTCTTTAGTGACTTGCTTGGGTAATGTCCTGCAGGCTTTCTCCTGTCCACTGTTGCCAATTAAGGTTTGAAAAATGACTTCATCTTCCCATGTCAGTGCAACTACATGCTGTGTATAGAGAAAGTAAAAGCTTCTGGTCCAATTTTGTGCTCTTTCCAGGTCTGCTTTTGGTTTGCATACCCAGCAGCTGGCGTTTCATGAATGCTCCAGAATCAATTCAATTCTGGTTTTGGCAGACGGAGAAAAAGAATACTGCTAATTCACAGTGTCCAGTGTGGACTGATTGTATTCCTTGCACAGTATTACAGCTCCTCTGGCAATACTAGCTCAGATGTTTTATCTCGCAGGCTAATATAAGCTGCCCCTAAGTGCTGCTCAAGTTCATTCAAGCTGACAAATATACAGGGCTGTATACAAATATTAGCATGTATTGTGTACACATGTAATAATTTAAAATGAGTATTTATTTTCCCTGTGAGTGCACTCTGTCATGGGTCAGCAAGCCTGAACTCCCTTTATAGTTGTAATTTCAGTTACTGACTCTTTATTAAAGATTAACAGAATTTTTGATGGCACAAGTTATTTTCATAAATAAGCAGTAATGGAGAGGGCACTGGAAATGCAAGATAAAGAACGCAGTGCCTTAAAAACCATATAAGTTATGAGCAGCACTAACTGAATAGTATGATGTTATAAAGGTTCGATTTAGAATATAAATATATCCTTTACACACATGGCATACAAGTTCTTCTGAATGTTCTACTGGATGTACAGGAGTATGCCAAGTCTTTTGGAAAAGCTAGTGTTGATCAATTTGTAGTCTGATTACCTGTAGCTTTGAGTGACTTGATTAAAGAAGTATATTCTAGATCACATTAAAAATGATCTTACTGAGCTGTGTCATTATTTTTTTTTTTTTTAGTGGTTTGAGTTGGCTGTCCTCATCCACAAGCAGTCTTCTAAGGCAAACCTAGCTCTGCTGAACTGGGTGCCCAGTGGTCACAACCACCTGATATTTCTTTAATCATAAACCAGGAGGACAGAGAGGTGCAGAAATGACCTGGCAATGTCCTGATAAATCTTTACTTGCTCAAGAATTATGGCTAATCATTTCCAGTCAACCTCAAGATTTATTTTGCTGCATGCTGAGATTAGCATTGAGATTTGTCATCATTTGCTGGATGTTTGGTATACTGCAGTAAATAGGTTAATGGAAAAGAGAAGGAAAAAGATATAGCGCTTGCAGTTCCAGATCTTGGCTACTTCCTCTATGTCAAGCTGACAAGGAAATTCAGCTTGTCCTGAATAGTTGAAACAGAGTTGTTCAGCTTTCTAGAAACCACTTATTAATAAAAGTTGTGAAGTGAGAATTTCAACACCGATTTTTTTTTCAGTAATGAGAAATTCTATAAAGAGATGTGGTTTTATTATAAAAATGTTTTAATTGTCTCATATTTTATATACCTCAGATTTTGTTTCTTTCAAAGCAAAATATGTAGGATATTATTTTCGAGTGTAAAGGTAATGAAAAGGAAAAGGCAATGAAAAGAAAATTGTCTGAAGCAGATCTGCTGTCCATACAGATTTACTGAAAATAGGTTTTGGGAAATGAAAGAATTCTTGGAGGGGGAAGGGAAAGCATAAAACAAATATAAAGCAAATACGCATAAAACAACTATTGAGAAGGGGGGAAAAAACCCAACAACCTGAAGGTTAAATATTAAGGAACAAAAACTTCTAATATATGTAAGAAGAATCTTGCTCTCACAGTCTGTCTCATTAAAGCTATCAAAGTGGAACTTCTAAGAGGAAGCCCATTCAAGTATGTAATTGTTTGTAGGGATAGCACCTAATCTATAGCATGCTGCATTTTGTCAGCATATTGTAGAAATGCATAGTGATATAAACACACATTAATCCTTTAATTAAAATTGCATCAGGCATAATGTGCTTTCATTAGAAAGAACATTAGCTGGTTTCAGCAATGATTTCATAGAACATTCGTGTTCTCTTAATCTAGCTAACAAATGTCTTCAAGACTTGTAAAAAAAAAAAAAGAAAAAAAAAGAAAAAGAAAAAGAAACAGTCTTTAGCCCTGTACCTAATTTAGAAGACTGTGCCATCTATTTGTTACAGTAATTAATATTTAATATAATTTGACCTTTGATTAGTCTGTTCCTTATTTTAATAAAAACCTATAGAACTTACAGATTTCTACCCATCAAATGATCAAATAACTGATTACGATTATGCAATTCACCTTTGAAATTTGCCTGATAAATATTAGCTGAATTTAGAGCTTGTATTTGTAATCTAGAGCTGTGAGCCTTATTAATTATCTAATTAATAAAGCAACATCACCATCTTAAGTGTTGAAAGGACCTCTAGAGAGAGTCCAACCTAGCTGCTAAATGAGGTTTCCTTCAGTGAATTGCACAAGTAGGTGCCCGGATGGGTCTTGAATATCTCCAGATAAGGAGACTGCACAACCTCTCTGGGCAGTTCTAACACTAAAATTCTTCCTTGTGTTTATGTGGAACTTCATGTTTTCCAGTTTGTGCCTATTGCCTCTTTTGCTGCAGACCACTGAAAAGAGTCTGGCTCCCTCCGCTTGACTCTTGCCATTTGGATACTTATAAACAGTGATGAGATCCCCTCTCAGTCTTACGTTTTTCAGACATTAAGAGTCCCAGCTCTGAGTCCTTCCTCCTAAGGGAGATGCCCCGAGGTCCTAATCATCTTCATAGCCCTCTGATGGTCTCTAAAAGTTCAATGTCTTTCCTGAACTGGGGAGCCCAGAACTGGACACAGCACTCCAGATATGACTTCAGTAGGCAGAGTAGATGGGGGAGGATAACCTCCTTTGACCATAAAGAAGGCCATGCTCGTCTTAATGCTCCCCAGGATACTTTTGGCTACCTTCTTGGTTGCACAGGCACACTGCTGACTCATGGCCAACCAGATCCTTCTCTGCAGAGATCCTCTCAAGCAGGTCAGCCCCTAACTGTTACTGCTGCATGTGGCTTATTACTCTCCAAACATAAGATTCTGTGCTTGGCCTTGATGAACCTCTGCAGGTTCCTCTTTGCCCAACTCTCTTGCCTGTCCAGGTCTTGCTGAATGGCAGCACAGCCTTCTGGTGTGTTAGCTGCTCCTCTCAGCTTCATATCATCAGTGAATTTGCTGAGGGTACGTTCAAACCCTTCATCCAGATCATTTAACAGCATGGGAAACCAGTACCAGTTCCTCAGGAACACCACTACCTAAAGGCTTCCAACTAGACTCTGTGCTACTGACCATAGCCCTCTGAGCTCTGCCAGTCAGCCAGTTCTCAATCCACCTTGCTATCTACTTATTGATCCCACACCTCCTAAGTTTACTTCTGAGGATGCTATCGGAGACAGTGTCAGATGCCTCGCTGAAGTCAAGGTAGACAATATGTTTGTAAGCAGGTGATAATTTTATGAGGAAAATGAGTAGTATAAAAATTAAAAACAAAAAAACTAGTATTTGTATATACTGATTTATTGGTGGTTCTTATAGAAAATGTGGAGGTTTGTTTTTGGGGATAAGTATGGCATACTTGAGGCTATGGCTTGCATGCTGCCACTGCTTGTTTGTGCCCTACCTAGGAGGCAGCCTGCTCTGCACTGGATCCAGTGTACAACCGTAACTTATTCAGTAGTTTATGGATGGGTCTTCTATTTCACTTCTTCCAGGATAACTTCAGAATTTCACGTGAAAGTCATCAGTGTAAGCTTTCCTGTCTACAGAAACTTGGTTTGTAATTTTCTGTTTGTGCTGTAAAGGCTCCTAGAAATTACTGCAATTTCACATAGGACTAATTCAGGACTAACATTTTAGCTGCAGTATTTGGAAAATGCACTTTAATCAGTTTCCAGCAGAGAATTGCCAAGAACATGTAGGACTGAAGTGTTCAAAAAGTATCACTAGACACTGGAAGATAGAGCCAAAAAGGATGAGAAATGGAAGAGCTGGTCAGATGTTAGCAAGAGAGCAGAGAATGGGAAGTGGAGGGTCCCTAAAATTAGAATTTTCTACTTGCTATCAAACTTTAATTATCATAGCAATATTGATTAATGAGTTACAAGATATGGATGTAGCTAATGCAAATTGAAACTATCTGTATCTGTCTTTTTATATTATAAATATATTTTATATAAATACAAATATATTTAATTTTATACAATATTGCCTATTGCATCTGTGTAAATATTTTTTTGTTTTCTGAAGAGGTGCTAAATAGCGTGGAGTCAATGTGAACAATCATAAACAAGCACATCAAAGTGTACAAAACAATGTCACATTTACAAAGTCAGTAAAGAAAGAGGCTTTGAAAGTGGGTTGTGACAGCTATTTCCTACAAAGGGTACTTTGCTAATTTGTGTGCTGCTGGAATTGGAGGTCTTATTCTATTTTGTAATACTGCTGTAACCTGTTAATGGCACGGTGGATTCACGGGGGACCCACAACCATGAGCATGCCTTCATGGACAAATTGAGAATGAAAGAGTTACGATGGTATTTTCTGTCTGCCTTTTCCAGGTCACTTGACAGCACTGAAAGAGTCAGAATGACTAGTAAAATCAAAGTACTTTTGCAGTTTTGCAAGGGGCTCTACTTAGCACTTGACTGTTTTTCATCTGAAATAGTATGAGTTGTCTTTCTGAAATGACAGTTTAATACAAGGCTGTAGAACACCTCATTCAATCTGACTTTTGCCCTGCTTTACTGCACCCAAATACACTCATTGTAATGTACTTTGGTTGTTTTATTTCATCACTGGTTGCTTTCTGTTTTAATTTTTTTACTTTTGTAAACACTGTATTTTTACTAGATGCTAAAAGTTTTGTTTTTTTTTAGTTATTTAGGAATTACATTAGGAATGCTGGCTCAAAATCTGTATGCTTAAATTTAGGATGTGAGTAATTCTCTGGGAACAAGATTGTTCATTAGCAAACAGCTTCTAAATTGGTGAAAAGAACTAAAGAACTGATTACTACAATCTTGCCTCCTATTTCCATCCTTCACATCATCTCTCTCATAAACCTCTTCTGTAAGAATTCCAAGATATCTCTTCCTTTTGTGTTTGAGGAGTATTTGACCTATTATAGTCCTAGTATGGTGTCTTCTATGCTATGATGGAAACAATAATTGGATTTTGTTTTGACTCTGCTAAAAAATAAATAGTGATGAGGTTGGATATTCCCTCATAAAAGCACAACTGGCTTTTCATCTGCTGAAAGTTCATTTTGAGCAATCTTTTGTTGTGAGCTTATAGTAAGTGCAAGTTTTGACTTTGTTCTTCCTACGCTCTTTGCTGTCATTAGCCTTGTCCGTTCATTTTGTTCTCTACATTTGTGTCTGAATTTAAAGACTTCTCTTATGATATTAGCCAGTTCATGACAAAAGAACCCAAAGTTTTCCACTGGCTGTTTTTTTCTGGAGTACTGCTTTATCAGTGCTGATGAACGCATCTTACTTTGTGTCTTCAGGACTAGGCTTCAGAACTACTCCTAAAAGTACAGCTTTTGTGATGATGTCTCTGAAAACAAACTCAACTTCTATACCAAGGCAAATACGGTCATCTCAGAGAACTATAAGAGATCCCTTGTGTGACAATGTCAGGATACCACAAGTTGACCTGATAAGGAGTGGGAGCACAGGCTGAGAAAAAGGAAAGATGGCAGATACATAAATCTATAAATTTGGGCAGTGAAATTGTCACCGATTCAGAGTCATTAATGGAAAGTATTTTTTTACAAAATTCATAATTAAACAGTTAGCTTAGCACCACAAAGCGTTCTGAAAGTAAGAATTATAGTAATATTTAAGAGGTCTGTAAAAATTCGTGAGAGAAGTCCATTAACAGTTACTTTAAATGATGTGTCTTATTTACATTCCTAAACCAGCAAATCTACTAACTGGTTTTCTTGGCATCGGATGCAAGAGGGATGCTGACTTCATCCGTGCTCTATTGCTTATGCTCTGCATCTTTATAGTCCATGTCTACCACTTAATGTATTAACTACATGGAGTCAGATTTGCTGATGAACACAGTAACTGCAATTCAAAGATGTGTTGCACTTCTAACGGTATGCCGCGTCTGACTGGACTAAGGAAATAAATTATCCAGTTTAATTTCAGCAGCTAATGTATGTTTTTAATCCATCTTCCTCCAGCATAAAAAGCTCCTTGTTTTTTTAATAAACTTGAGAGTGAATGAGAAATAATTTTGTTTCTATGACTAATATGATAATGGGTTTCTGTCCTTTGAAATGTATAGTCTTACATATTAACAAAAATGAATTTTCAACGTGGAAGCAGCTTTATTGATGTTTTAAAATGGAGATGGAATAGAAACTGGAGAAACAGAGATGCACTATTAGTTT